GTGTAGGGATGCAGTGCTGCCCAGAATTAGATATCTTTAAAGAGTTTAAAATGCAATAAACACTACATAATAATCGCCTTGTTACTTTCAATGCAATTCAAGTCTTTAAGAGGTATGTGCTTAATATTTCCTACTGTGTAGGAGAATTTGCAGTCAGCCATAGCACAGAGCAGTGGAATGGCTGGTTAACAGGCTTGTAAGGCAGATGTAAATGCAGAGACAGATGCCACCAAATGATTACAGTGTTGATGGCAGGAATGTATGCTGGAAACTGTTTGTGGGAAGTGAAGCAGCTAAACAGTAGGCAATATGATATTGTATTAAAAGGAAAACTTGAAGTTTTTTCCCCACGCTTGACATAGCTTTCTTACAGAAGGTCTTTAGTTGTATTCCTGAAGTAAGGAACTAACAGTGGAGAGTTCAGCTGATAAATGAGCTTCTTGCAACATAATTTGTTACTGTAGTTGCATTATGTATGCTAGGAACTCTTAAACACTTAATGTTGATATTAAACCATTAATGCTACATCATTGCTTCTAAAGCCAGTCATGGTCAATGGTGATGTTTTTGTAGAGTTAAGATGACAGCTAACAACTGGGCCAATGTGTAGGAGTGGTAAACAAAATGCTCATAATGCTGTCTAATCGTCTGTTCTCCCAAAATTTTGCATTATAGGACTACTACGTGAAGAGTCTGCGAAGACAGTGGAAGACAGCTTAAACTGAAGATCTGCTTTAAAATGAGGTGAAAGAAAGCTGTAGTGGCGTAGAAAAATATAAAGTTGAGTTAGAATTTTTTTTTATAAAATTTAATTCAGGACTGGTGTTTCCTCCCAGAGTTCAGAAAGATGTGTTGATAATAGCACATATGCTACTGAGAATATAAGTCCTGTATACTTTTTTTTCTTTTAAGACTTTTTAAGATAAGAAACCAACATAACCTGAACACATGGCTTGCTCAGTGTTTAATTGCAAGTTTTCATTCTTGGACTTTAAAACACAGGAATAAATGTTTAGTATTTGTGTGAATCGAACTAAAATGAATCCCATTTTTACAACTAAGCTATTCCTAGCTTCTTGATATACGAGAAATGGAAATAAAGTATCTTTGAATTTCTGTTACAAATTTGATTGTCTCTGTCATTGAACGTTTAATATTAAATAAGTTTCTTTCCTAATAAATCTACTCATGTCTTCAAGCTTAGTCCATTAATTTGGATGCTTAGTTATTCTGTGCTTGTGTTTGTGGGTTTGGAATTTTTTGGTGCCATCAGTATTTAATTTCAAGGTCACTTTTTCAGCAGTTAGATGCTGTTGGGTTCAATGTCCCCTAAAAAGTGCAGCTTATGCTGCAGTTGGTTAAATTATAGAAATCGTGCAATAAAAGTGTAGGTATTAAGTCCTTATAAAAGCAGTTCAACTTTGAAAGCCTTATCAGGAAGATGCCAGTGCTGGGACTGGCCATGAGACTGCCCCATATTTGCTTTGCAGTATTCATTTGGGATATTAATTAACAACCAGTGCAGTTGGTAAGCACAGTCTGAATGTCAGAACAGATACAGGGGAAGGGAGATGTGCCTTATGCTTCCGTGTGAAGCTGTAGTGCAAGCAGGAGTAAAAGAACTGCAGCCTGTACTAGTCAGTGCTGTGGCTGCAAGGCATTGAATTTACATTCTTTTTAAAAAAAGCACTGTCCTTCCCATTAGTATTCAGGACATGACTGTCCCTGTAACCGAAGTCAGACACGGACAGAGCACCATTGTGACTTGCTTGTGCTGATTGTGGTGTGCCTTGTGTGGCCTGTGTGTGTGCAAGTGCACTCAGAGTCTGCATGTTGGTCCCTCTGGTGAGTAGTGCTGGGGTTTGGATGAGGGGATGATACCATTTGCAGACAGCCATGTTCCATTTCTGACTTTTATTGTTCTAAAGCAGATACACATGCAGGGGCACAGGGCATTGAGACTGGGTGTGGTGGGGGTTTGGGAAAAAATAATGGAAGTGGGAGCAAGTAAAATGATTACCAAGTTCTAATTGCAGATACTTTCCTTCTGAAACTTGTGATACGAGATTCAGCCACTTCTTTCAGTGGCAAAAATGTTCATCTTGCACCTTTTCCTACACGTTTGTTACAGGACTTAGATGTCCCCTTATTTAGCAGAAGTAAAAATGATAAAATGGGGTACCTTGTAGTAAATTAGGCTGGGATTCAGATTCTGACATGTCCGATAGTGGAGTCTTTAGTGCTTTGAAGATGAAGGAAAATTCTGTTTTGCAGAGCATAGAGCACCCGGTGCCTTTCTAATAACTACCTCCAGATTTGACTGTGTGAACATCTCCACCAGAAGTTCATCTTTGTGAGAAGTATCTTCAGAGCTCGAGCCCAGGATAAATACCATCCCAGATTTTCTAGGAATGCTAAGCAAAATGCAAGTAGGTCCTTTAAAAGTAAGCACCTCTTATGTGCTTTTTCTATACTGTTTTTGACAGCCTAATAGTCTTTTATTGGGTGTTAAAAATGTACTGGCCTGTGATTTTTTCAAAGTTGTGTTAAAATTTTAAGAGTGTCCTGTCCACTCTAAAGTGACCCCCCCCACCTCCTACCCTCACTCCAAAAAGGAAAAGATTGAAGTACTTGAAACAACTGATACTTTATTATAGTAGCAGTGTCAGTTCAGTACGAGTTTGTAGTGCAAACAAAAGCAGTCCTTGGAAGACCGGTAAGTTTTGTAAACTTAGTGTCAGTTGTCATACCAACAGTTATTGTTCAAAGAAAAAGACCCAACAAAAAACAGTTAACATAATTAGTGTGCCTCTGAGTTTATCAAACTGCATAAAACATACAAAAATATTTCTCTGAATGCATAGACTTCTTACTGTTGTTGTTACAGTTAGATCATGATTAAAGTTTAAAGTCTTAACACATTAACAGTTATTCTTGGTGGAAACTAGAGCAAATAAAGCTTTTTTAAACCAGCTGCTACTATAGCAGAATGTTCAGTAGTTAGTGGAGACAGTCCTTACAGTGACTTCCTAAACAAAGGAACTGGAAATTAGATACTCATATTAATTTAGAGCCATTTAACCACTACTGTTTTTCAAACAGTTATTGCACATAATCTGAGCTACCTCCAAGCTATGCTGGAAAGATAAATACACAACTGTTAAAACCTTTCCTGTCCTACAAGAAAAACAAAGTGGGAGCCCTAGTTAGGAAATTTTACTTCATACTGTGTCACAGTCTTGAGCTTCCCAGGAGTTGAATCTGGCATTAAAGTAACTCAGCTCCTGGCTGGAGAAGGGCCAGGATTGTGAGTGGAGAGTTAGCAGGGCTGAGGTGATAAGATGTATATGGGCATGTGGGGAAGAGGATGATAATTATTTTCAATACAATAAGAAGGAATTTTAAGCCTAAGTAACTTGGTGAAATCCTGAACCCGTAGTCTCTGCTGGCAGAATGGGTTTCTGTGTTCTCCTGGCATGCAGCAGACTTACACACCGGGCTTGGGGAGCTCCTTGGGAGTAAAGCAGGACACTGGGAGGGTCCAGCCATGCTGCTCCTACCAAAACATGGTGCTGGTACTATTTATAGTCTGACTGTCAACATTGCAGAGCAGATCAACAACAACAAATACAGCACCAGCTGTGCAGCTCTGCTCTAGTGCAGCTTCATAAAGCAGAGAGGGAAGGAAAATCAATACAGCTGGGCAGGGGGGAAGAAAAATCAGCTCATGCTAAAAAAAGTCCCTCGTGCCTCCACCCACCTCAGGACCCAATTAAGGTTTTGGTGCAAAGGTTAGCATCATAGTTTTTGGTACAAAAGGAAAAGCCTCCAAAAGTGTAGCTTTGCAGGCTGCCATGTTAACAGGAAAAGCTCCAGCCTGTTTATGCTCCAGCAATGCTGCAGCTTAAATACTTTGTTCAACCCACAGATGGATGTTAACTGAAAAACAGCAAGAGTAGACTGTACATTGTGTAAAGTGAAGGTTAGTTACTTGCTTGTGCTGTGTTTCCCACTCAGTCTGGCTCACAAGAGCGTGGTTTCCTCCCTCCAGCTGTGATCCCTCACAGGGACACTTGTGCTTCCCCTGCTCCTCAAACAGCAGAAACCACTACACACCCTGTAACTGCTGTATGAGGGTGGGCCACAAAGAGCCTACCTGACTACACAGGACTGACACCTGGTGTGAGCAGTGCACTGGCTCTCAGGGGTTGGAAAGGAAATAAATAAAACCATGGACACAGATTGGGGGTCCCCTCCCTATCTCCTGAAGCATGAGGGCTTTCTCTTGAAAGGGCACTTCAGCTTGTTTTGTGACTTAATTAAGGAGTATTTAAGAGAGGCTTCTGTATTATTTGGTGGAGGGATGCCATCACTTAAGGTACAATATTCTCACATGGGAAAGAAACATTTAAATGTGGGCACACTCCATTTACTTTCAGCCCAGTGAAAGTGTTTTCTCCTGTCACTTCAGAGCGTTAAGATTTCTAGGTAACCCATCTGAGTCTTTGGGAAGGGGCAAGAGATTAAGGACTTGCACATTTTACATTTTTAGGGAGAAACTGTTCATTGTCTGCTAGATACCCTCTGACGTTTAACTTAACCAGGAACTTTTTATATATATATATATATATATATATACACACACACACACACACACACAGAGACACATAATTTCCTGACTCTCCTTTCCCTGACTCTTATTTGGTCAGAGTGGGTATGCTCAACATACTTTTTGTAACAGTAATTATGTCTTTCCTGCCCTCTGCTGCCAAATACAACCAATAAACTTCCTTGAAATACATTGGAAGCATGTGATTTTTAGTAGACAAATGAGGTATCCCTTAGCTGAATACAGTATCAAGTAAAAAAATAAAAGCAAAGGGGCTATTAAATATAAAATATAGGCTATTAGTTAAAGTAGTAACCCTAACAATAACTTAAGGTTTTACACACACTCAACTCACTGCCTTCCAAAGGCAGCAGCCTGTCATTACCAGGTGTTCACATTCCAGATGCAGCTCCAAGAGTCAGTAAGTCAGCTCCAAGAGTCAGTAAGTCAGCTTGGATGCTCTGCTGTTGTAGCATGGCCTCTCTGTCAGAGCGGCTGCAGCGTTTCGGAAAGGAGAGCTCTCACTTTTCACAAGAACTAATTCCAGCTCTTGGAAGTCCTGGAGTCTGGCAACATCCTTGTCCTTTTGAAGAACAGACAGAATGAGACATTACTCCTAAAAATAGCTGGTCATTATTTATAAAATAGCTAAAGTAAAAACTAAAATTTCGGGGAGGTCACACCCGATAGAAATAAATAATGAGAGGGAAAAAAAAATCCAGCATACCTTCTTTCTTTCAAAGAAGACTTGTTTGGTTTTTCTCCTTAAAATGTACATTTTCTTCTTGAACCTCATTATGATTTGCCAGTGTTTGTGTGTGTCACTCACCTAAGAGTTGTGATCAAGCTCATTTACAGACCTCCCGAACCGATATTTTTGGAACAGAAGAGCATGTTCATTTGTTAACAGCATATCTTTAAATTATTCATATGCCAATTTGTGGAGGTTATTTCTCCTTACTGTTTGTTCTTTTTAGGCAAGCAGATGCTGAGGTAGTACATGGCAATTATGTTAAAAGCACCCTAATGCACTGCTTCTGATACATTTTAAAAAAGTCAGTAATAGTTTCATGTGCTTTAGGAGCTGGAATACTCTGCCTGTTTTGACAATATTTTCAAGTAAGTTATGATGAAGTTTTAAGAAAAGCCCAACATCCTTCTGAATTTGTGAGCTGAAGTCAGTTTTTGATTTTTAACAAAGGTGACATTTTACCAATCTTTTTACAAAAATACCTTCTCTGATGTCTGCAAAGTGCAAAGTCAAGTTAATCTCTGATTTCAATTCTTACCTTTCTTACTAATGTGTTGGGGAGTTTTCTGATCTTCTCTACTTGTTCTGGATTAATGCCCAATTCACAGCAGCTCACTCTGAGCAGATCTTGGTAGGTCAGTTCTTGTCTGTCCAGTTCAATCTCAATGAAGTCATTGTCTCTGAGGTTCTGGACTCTCACCTTAAGCACAAGTTCTGACAGAAAGGATTAAAAGGTGGGTTTTTTAAAAAACAACAAACCAACCACAAAGGGCAACAACTACAGTAATTTACCATTATCTTTTGTATTCAGGTTTTATAATGCGATCCCAATGATCTCACTAAGAAATACTGTGAGTTAATAGAAGCTTCCAGCAAAAATACACAGGGGAACCATGTTTACACTGTTTAAACTCTCATCCATCCAGTCACGAAGTCAAGCTGTTAGCTGCATTTGACTCTATATCATATAGTGCAGAATTTAATTTTTCATGTTACTGATCTTTCTGTTGGTTTGCAGAGTATTACCGTGGTTAAAATACCGGCATCACAGCAGCAGAGCAGGAGAAAAAATTCAGGGTACTTTTGCCCACAAAACTCAACATCTCTGCCTCTGTTCTACTTGAGTCTGAAGCAGAATTAACACTGTTCACCCAGTAACAAAACCACGGCCCACACTGGGATAGAAGGGCAGTAAACAGCCCCTCGTTACCTTGCATGCTGTAGGGGAAGGTCCCAGTGAAGAAGAAGGGCTGGAAGGCCGGGGTGGGGCTGGTCACTGACGTGTGGGGCTGCAGAGGCCCAGCCTGGCCGGGTGCTCCTGGGGAGCAGAGCCCCGTGCCGGGGGGCATGGCCGGGGGGCACACGGGACCGTTGGGCACCGCTGGCCTGGCGTGTGCCAGGGCTGTGCCAGTGGTGGGCACGGGGGGCGGCGGGGCCGTGGTGTCCAGCGCGGGGGAATCCTCTTGGCTGCTGCATGGCGAGGGTGTGCATTCACTGTCGACCTGAGTTGTTGATGGACAAGGGCTGGTTTCGCACTGGGAAGCAGAAGAGATGGAAGCACTTTCATTCTGGGATTCTGCCAAGCTGCCTGGAATGCTTTCTTCGGTGTAAACGTAAGGGAATGGTGGGTTGGCCAAGTAGTTTGCAACAATTGGCAAATTTAAATCCTTCACTCCTTGGCATTCAGTTTCTTCCTCTACTAATGAAGTTCGAAAATGGGAAGTAGGGGACGGGGAGAGAAAATAAACCATCATGTTATTGGACAGATCTTTCTCATCTTGAACAGTTTTCCTGTTGTGTCTTAAAACTACATTGCATTCCAAGGTCATCAAAGGATGATAGAAATGTACCATTAGCATGAAATACCTGGGAGGCAAGTAGCTGTGAAGTTGAAAGAAAAACCTAGAAATGTCTACAGTGTATCCTGTGTTTTAAAAGCAAAGTGGGGGAAAAAAAATAACCATTGAAAGACACGTAATTTCTAGCAGTGTTATTCCAGTGCTTTCAAAGGAATTCTGTGACCAGTAGTTCTTTAATAAATCTCATTTTACAATGCTTTAATAGCACTGCTGTAAATACTTTACTATGACCCAGGCCAGCAAATTCAACCCAGTATTTCTTCAGGCAAGTGACTACTTGCTGTAATACCCAAACAAACTCTTCTCTTGCTTAAAACACTACAGTAAGTGGCATTCCTGCCTGACTGAGGATTACAGGACATTAATAGTAATGTCAAAGCAGTTTAGAAAGATCAGCTTAATAGCACCACACTCCCAGAATAAAAACTAGGAGAATCTACGTGATATGTGTTTATTCCCTAGGAAATACATTAAAGCTTAACAGACAGAAAATTACGGCAGCTCTGAACAGGGTTCATCCTCATGTGCTTGACTGTAGATGGTAAAAACAATGTGAGTCATCTGCCACAAACTAAGCCCAAGAGATGAGCACCTTTCCCAAAAGGAAACAAAGGTATCGTGCAGAGAACATGTCATTCCTTGAGTGGTGACTGTTGAAACCTGAGTCACGATTTAGCTGCAACTTCATTTAGTATAACCCTGCACTGTTGATGTAAGAGCAGATCACTGTAGAGGGCAATTTAAATGCAATTAGCAGAAGACAGAATATCAACATTTCCAAAGGTGAAGCACTTAAAAATTTTAATCTGGAGCACAGTACCTAAATTCTGATTGGCAACAGACATTGGTGGCGTTCAGGAGCGTCACACACATCTAACTGGGGTTGCTCTGCATATGAAAGGTGTAGATGGTAGAATTATGGGACAAAAATTAGTCATGCTGCAAGTCACAGTATAACAACATGCTCAGAAGCCGTAACTTCTGGAATGATGCAGTTGTTTCGAAAGGATTTGTAATTTTCGATTATGGTCAGACAACAGGCAAATTGTACAGTTGTGAAAGCCTCCTGCATGTTAGCTTCTGCTTAGTGACAGCAAACAGGACTGCAGCAGCACATTTACCAAAGCATACAGCTCTTCCATCCCTTGGTGACACAGCTCAGAATACAAAGCCTTCCTACCTGAAATCCCCATGTCTATTTGCCCAAGTATGAATTCGAGTTAAAAATCACTCATCTAATGAGATACAATGGCCCCAGCCAAAGTTTTGCCAATCCACTGCCTCAGATAAAAGCACTAAAAACACTTTAGTGTTTAGACTGCGAATTCTAGATGACTTCAAAGACAGGAACGGTACCTCCCAAAATCTTCCGGATGTCTGGTTTTGATGTTAACTGTGCAGCCAGCTCTCCTTTGGCAGTGAGGATCTGCTTATCCGCCCCAGCCTCCAGCAGGCAGGACACCACCTGAGCATGGTTCCTCTTACAGGCCCAGTGCAGGCAGGTCCTGCGGGAAGGAAAGAGAGGAGTTGGGATTTGTGGCAAGCAACCCCTACTTCACCTGAGCTGTGCGTAAAGCGAGCATCACTGGGAATAAAGTTTCCTTCATTGCGTCGCTTTTTAAAGTCCTGAATCTACTGTAAGTTGTGTGGGGCAGGGCCCTCCTTTGCTTTCCTACGGCACAGAGGTGACTCCCACCGCTGTCCCCACCGCTGTCCCGGGTTGGCACCAGCGACTGGAAGAGGTCTTTGGGCAAACACGCAGTGACAGGTGGAAGGAGGGCGGCCTGCTTTTATCGTGATCCTCTTTAGAAGTAAATCTCCGAGCCTCCCGAGATTAGCTTTTCCTTTTTTGTAAATAGGGAAATTAAGAAACAGAAGAGCTGCGACCCCCCCAAGTCGCTCCCCCCACTCATGGATGGGCGCCCGAGTGCCGTGCGGGGCGTCCCGAGTCCAACCACCGCGAAAACCCCGCAGGGAAAGGCAGCGGGGAGAGGAGCCGAGCCCGGCAGCGGCCCCGGCCCGCCCCGCGTCCCCGCAGCCCCTCACCAGCCGTTGATCTCGTTGCGGGAGTCGATGTCCGCCCCCGCGCCCAGCAGCCGCCGCACCTCCGCCACGTCCCCCAGCGCCGCCGCCTCCCGCAGCCGCTCCTCCAGCTCCCGCGCCTCCGCCGCGCCGCTCATGGCCGGGGCCGGGCACGCCGGGCAGGGCCCCTCTCGGCCCCTCCCCGCCGCTCCGGAGCCCGTCGGGAGGGGCCGGGCGGTTCCTCAGCGCCGCTGCCCCGCCGGGCCCGGCCCGCCCCGGGCCCCCGCTCCGGCCCTCGCGCCCGCCGCCATCTTGTGCCCGGGGCGGGCGGGGAGCGCAGGGGCTGCCCCGGCCGGGGGGGGGAACGGCCCGTGTGTGGAATATTGTGTCCCGTTCTGGGCTCCTCCGCACGGAAAAAGGCAACGAGCTGCTGCAGAGGGTCCAGCGGAGGCCGCAAAGATGGCGAGGGGTCTGGAGCATCTCTGACGAGGAGAGACTGTGGGAGCTGGGCCTGGTTAGTCTGGAGAAGAGAAAACTGAGAGAGGATCTCATGAAGCAGATAAATATCTCCAAGGCGAGTGTCAGAGGATGGTGCCAGACTCCTTCCAGTGGTGCCAAGCAATGGGACGAGAAGCAACGGCCATAAACTAAAATGCAAGAAGTTCCACCTCAGCATGAAGACAAACTTCTTTCCATGGAAGGTGGCAAAGCCCTGGAACAGCTGCCCAGGGAGGGTGTGGAGCCTCCTCCTCTGGAGACATTCCAAACCCACCTGGATGTGTTCCTGTGTCACCTGCTCCAGGTGACCCTGCCTTGGCAGGGGGTTGGACTGGATGATCTCCAGTGTTTCCTAACAACTCGAATGAGTCTGTGATTCTGTGTGACCCCTCCGGTTCTGGGGTGGGATCCTGGACAGGGTGAAAAGCCCAAAACTGCAGCATTTCCTCTGACAGGCTCATCCCACCCTTGCTCACCACCCTGAGACCTGTGTGGAGGCTTGAGGGGAGAAAGTCATGGGGAGAGGGAGAAAGCTGCCCAGCAAAGGCACATCACAGAGTCATTCAGGTTGGAAAAGACCTCTAAGATCATTGAGTGCAACCATTCATCCATCACACTGGCCTTGTCCTTTTCAGGGTGTTTTTGACTGGCAGCCTGCCTCCTGCCTGTGAGCTGTGAGGCTGCCATGGGCTGGGGCAGGAAGGTACCACAAGGATGGGTTCAAATCCAGGGACTGGGGCTGGGCAGGTACCACAAGGATGGGTTCAAATCCATGGGCCAGGAGTGAAATCCACCAAGGTTTTTTCCCCCAGACATTTCCAGCCCTGGCACCTCCAATTCCCAGTCATCTCCTCACCAGCACATTGCTCACACTCTTTAATTAAATCACTGCAACCTGTGTTGGGGAGCTAATTTATCTCCATGCTTTCTGTTTTGGCATCAGTGTCTGCCACCAAGGAGAAATTTGCACTAAGCTATTTGGTCTTTTTATTTCATTGCTTCTCTTTTATTGCTTAATTTTTTTATTAGTGACATTATTTTTAGCCTACCGTTTAATTTTGGACTTGGGTTGCTGTTCCTTTGGTCTGCTGTTCCTGCTCTGGCAGTTGTGGCAATTAGGTTGTGGTAATGCCTGCAGCATTACCTTCCAAACAGTTCCCAAATATCTATCCATATAAATGAAGCTTCAAAACACAAACAATCATCTTCCTTTTAATCAGTCAGGAGAGACAGAGGCCCACAGGTCAGACATTTCTGTTTCTCTAAAAGAGAGGCATCCCTGCAAACTGCCCTTGTGAAGGCAGGAAGGGCAAACCAGTGATGACAGTTTTAGCTACCGTGGCAAAGGTTACACGGTGACTCAGTGGTAAGTTTTTCACACCAGATCACATGCTGTTCATCCTATGCAACAGGCTGCAACACGCTGGGCAAAAATTTTGCCCAGCTCATACCATGAGACTCAACCAACTGTAGGAGAAACAACTGGATTTAGAGAATGTTTTGCAAACAACATTTACCCAGCAACAGCCTTGAATTCCAATCTCCGAGACCTGGAAGACCAGCCTTCAACTGGACACTGCTGTTACCTGAATATTTTAACTTGCTTCCTTTTTCAGTAAAAGCATCTTAAATGATCACTTTTTAACCCACAGTTCCTTTTGTCTGTTTTCAGCATCTGTGGCATAAAGCTGTAAGACAAAGACAAGGCACACAAAAGTGGAGACCTGGGGATACGTTATAGGAAGCAGGGCACTCTCTTGCACACTGTGAAAGCTTTAAATCCCAGTTTTTTACATCTGGAAAAATCCAGTAGGATAAAGTGGCAAAAGAGTCTTTTCTGAAGTCATATAAGACAACACTCAGGTGGGGAAAAGCTGTTTGGGTGGCAAAGTGCAGGAATAGGCCCAAAACCAGAAACACCATTCCTAGTTCTCCGGTACTGCTGCCACTAGATGTCACGGTGGAACAGCAAGAGGAGCCCGGAGTGTGGCTTTGTGCTTCTTGCTGTAATGGTAAAATGCCTTTAAATTTGTCTCGGCACATCCATAGTGTCTCCATACAGCTTTGATCCTGCGGATTTCAAAGCTCCGTGTGGTGCAAAGGGACATTATGCAACATTTCCACACAGGCGCAGGGGAGCCGGTGCAGGGAGCTGGTTTCTGGGGGGTTATGGGCTTTCTCTCTTTTTTTTTTTTTTTTCCCTCTACTTGATCTCCTCTCTCGAGGCCACACAGGGCTTTTAAGGACTCGAAGCCGGCGGGTGATGCACTGAGATGCTCTCTCTCACGCTCTCTTGGGATAAGTATCCTACTCCGTCGTGCCTGTGCCAAGCCCTGTTAAATGCAGCTCGGGCTCACCATTGCTTAGTTACACAATGTACTTCTCCCCGGAGTCATGAGATCTCCTCCTGCAAGGAAGGCTGTGTGGAAGAGGATTAGCAGCGAGTTCACTTGACTCAGAGCTCCCCACTGCCGCCATGAGCCCTCCTGCTCGTGCCCCACGCGTGGAGCCCCAGAGCCCCTCGCACGCGTTGCCCCCTCCCCGTTTATTGGCACTAGTGCTGCACACACCAAATCCCGGCAGAGCCAAGAACTTGTCCTTTCCCTGCTCCTTTCCCATATGGCAGCTCGGTCTGTGCCCGTGCTCGCCAGGCCCCCACGGTGCTGTACCTGTGCAGGGCACACGTGCACACACCTCCCTGCCGAGAGCAGATCCTGCGTGGACACAGATGCTCCGAGGCAGGTGGTGGCTGAGGGTTGCCCATCCCCTTTGGAATCTGCTGGGAACCGCACACGGTGCTGTGCACCTGTGGCTTGAGCAGCCACTTTTCCTCCCAAACGCTAAATGCTTTTGGCCTTTGGTGGGAACACGCTGAGCTCTGAGCCACAGTGTGTGTGTGTGTGTGTGTGTGTGCGTAGCCCAGGCCAGTGATATTTTGTTTTGTTGTGATTTACAGGTGCTCGGTGCTCCCTGTGTGTTCCCCATCCGAGGGGAGCCGTGCCCGCCAGCCCTGAGCCTGTGGCATTGCCGGGAGCGCTGTGCACGCCTGGCACTGCAGAGCCACCTCTTCCCTGTGACAGGCTTGGAGTAACCGCAGGGGAGGCTTGGGCCATTCTTTGTCCTCAGAGCAAGTTTTCCAGATTTTATTGGTTAAGTTTTAATATGTGTCTTTTTGCAAGCTTCCGACTGTGCCCGAATCTCTGGATTGGTTCTTTTCTCCTTTTTTGGAGAAACCATGGTCTGTCTGTTTGCTATTTGCTCCTATTTTTTTCCAGGCTTCGACAGTTTTTCATTCCCTTTGCATTTCAGGTTTCATTCCCCAAATAACTCCATTCTTCCCCATTTAACCAACTTCTCAGTCATTGAAAGTTATGATTAAACATGTTTTTAAGGGCTTAATTCCCAGTTACACAGTAATACTGACAGCTGTATGATCATATTTGAAACACCCAATCCCCACCCAACCCACCAAAATAATTTTTCTGGCAATTTAAACCAACTTGTGCACTTATTAGAAATAAGATTTAGGGATAGTCAGAAACCTTAAATATTATACTTAATGCACAGAGGGAGAGAGATTTAAAGCCACTATGGGATTAAGGCTCAAGGAAATGGAAGGACTGGTGGAGAATAAAGATGGAAGGAATTAAAAGTCAAGCCCAATATTCACCTAGATTTAAACTAATTTATGCTGCCCACTTTGGGCCTTTCAATGGGTGTTTGAAGGCAAAGGAGACAATTTCAGAGGAGGAAGTCAAAGTCACATGTGAGAAGGAGTTTATATTATACCAGTTTTTGTGCTGGCCCCCTGGAATTCCCTGTGTGAGAGTCTGTAGGTGAATTAGGTTAAACTGAAAACTCCACACTGTCAAGTCTGAGCCTGTGTCACCCCACGCTCACTTCATGCCCATGGGAAGAAACACACAGCACAAAGGCTGATTCATCTCATTCTGGGACAGGTGTCTAAAATAGCACAGCCAGATCATCCTCTGGAGATGCCTCTTACGTTCTACCTGCTGTCAAAGGCTCCAAAGGGAATGAGGTTTGAACCCGATAATTTCTAGCTGCCTAGTGGCAGGCAAGATGAGCAGAGTGGCTGGGGCTCTACACAACTTGAGAATAGTTCCTCTGTTCTTAATGAGATAAATAAATCATTCCAGTGAATTACAGAGTTTCAGGAAACTCAAACATGATTTTGTTTTGACTGTAAATTACAGCTTTTTCACCAAATCACCAGGCAGGGATTGCAACACTGATAGTGGTACAGAGGGCTGGAATTTAGGACAGGTCTTGGCCTCCTGGAACATCCCTGAATCGCAGTGCAGCCGGTTATCTCAGGGGTTTTCAGCCCTGCTGAGCATCCTACAGGGGCTCAAGGGAAGCAGAGGGCCTAAAAAAGAGACTTTTTAGCCAGTGTGAGCACACTCACATTCACACAGATGCACGTGCCTGAAGCATGAAGTTTGATGGGGAGGGGTTGTAAAATGGCATTGATATTTGGGGGAATGGTGATCTCCAGTGGAAAGATCTGCTCAGGCAGACAAATCCCTTTAGAAATCAGGCATAATGTGTGGCTGTTTTTTCTCAGTTGTTGATTTAACATTGTTCCTATTTGTAGAACAAGTATATAAGTTCTGAACAAACAAGTCAGGGAACTGGAACCTGAGGGGAGTGGTACATCAGCTCAGGGACTCATGGTTAAGAAGTCCAATAGATTTTGATAACAACTGAAAATTGTTCAGTGGATTAGTGTCTAAAGCCAGTTTGGCTTCAAGTAATGACAAGCCTGAACTGCAGTGCCGTGGATCCAGACTTCTCCCCTGAGGGTGGTTGTTGCTTGTGTTGGGGTTGCAGGTGTGACCCTGGTTCCCTCTGAGCTCAGAGAAACCCTAACCCAGAACACAGAGCAGATAAGGGGCTGCCTTTGCTTTCTCTCCAGACATCTGGCTGCATTCCTCTCTGCCCAGGCCTGTAGTTCCTCCCTTTGCTCTCCTAATCCATGAAACAGGCTCATCCTGGGAATGAGGGGCAGATGTATGTAATTGCCTGACTCCAGCATAGGGGCATGTCCTGTTTAGGCATTTGGAGTCAAAAGGCTTCTTTGGAACTTGCCCCAGTTCATCTCCTGCAGGACTCCTGTGTGAAGTTCACAAGATGATGGGGATGGTTCACCTGCACATCTAAGAAAAAAAAAATGGTTTGCCAAGACAAGGTCTGTATTTATTGCTGCAGGGATTTTTGCTTTAGAAGAAGCTGGGCCCGTGCAGGAGACCTGATCAGGGTGTTTGGATTCTCCTTAGGCTGTGTTTTGGCCATCAGGGAGAAAGCCACAAAAGCAAATCATAACTGAGGGGCTGTGCCCTGTGCACCCCTTGCGGTCCTGAGACACAGCAAGTCAATTTGGAACACTCCATTGACCTGGCTGGGCTTTCAACCAGGCACTATACAATTCATCAGAGTAATTAGCAAAGCTGTAACTAAAGAGGTCTCCATGGAGATCGACAGCATCACCTCCCAGCTGGTACATTCTCTGCCTCCTATTCTAAATTTGTTCTCACTGTCTCCCTGGCTCTAGACCATAAGGTTAGTGAAATCTTCCAACATTTGTGACACCTCAGAGCAGTGGAGAGAATGACAAAGGTGGTTGGGAGGGGGCTGAGAGAGAAATAACCTCGTTGGTGCCTCAAGGAAAGCAGCAGAAGCTGTTCAGACATATATAGCCAGAGTTTTGAGAATGGGATTAGGCAGAACAGCACCTCTGCCTGCCTGTCACTTGCAAATTCTTGCTAATACTTTAGGAGCTTATTGGAGGTCAGCACCAAACACCCAAACAGACTAATCTGTATTATAGACACATAATCAAAGTCACAAGGTTTTACATAATATATATTGGTGACACAAGAAGTGTTTGTTCGAATAATTTTGTCATCAAGATTAGGGGCCATGAAAGCCTCTACTGTGCACTAACCCGGTTTTCTATGGCCGTGGGTACTCCAGATTCCTCAAACTAATCAAAAAGGAGCCGAAAAAGTTTATGTTCTGAAACAGTTACAGTATTAGGTTTCTGGCCATGGCAAAGTTTAACAGAAAAAAAGTATGTGTGTGTGTGTGAGGTAGAAAGGGCTGTGCTTAAGCTGCAGCTTAAGGCGTGAACAAATGGCTGGAGATACAATTCTTGCGTTCCTCATTTTTTCCTGACAGTTTTGCAGTTGCAGCAAATCACACCTCACACTCACACATGGCTCTGAGGGAATGGCAAGAGGCTGGGATTTGGAAGATAAACTGATGTCACTTGACCCACTTGTGAGCTTTATAGTCCCCTTCAGGAAGGTGGAAGCTGTGGCACAGAGGGAGTGAGTGGTCTGGGCTCACGGAGTAAGTCAGAGGCAGGGACAGGGACGGGTCCCGTGGAGATAACCATTCCATACTGAGAAATCTGATTGACTTCAAAAGGAAATTAGTTTATGGAAATGTTTGGAAATGTGTAGAAAAGTCTCATTTTCCACCCCATGTAGAGCTTTGTAACCATGGTGTTACAGAAACACAAGAGAAAATGTGTAAAATTATGAAAGAAGAAACACCCAAAAAAATAAAAAAAAGTATTCAAGACCATTTTCTCTGTGCTGGGAAGAGACTAAGCCACAGCTCATGCCATGGGCTGCAGAGATGATGTAAAGATTTTCCAGGCACATAGACCAGCTTGTTCTCCTGGCTGATGCACAGCAAAGACAGAGGTCTTGTGAAGGTACCCCAAATATTGCTGTCCTGCTGCAGGAGTTCACCCCACAAACTGAAGTACCTCAGTGAGAATCTCATTTTCCTAAACTCCCCCACAGTCAATGAGGAGAGAGCAAGAGCGATGCCAGCCAGACATCTGCAGAAGTGGAATCAGAACTTGGGAGGGCTGAATCGTCCTCTAGATTCGCCGCAGTTCACATGCTGCTACCATGTGAACCCAGGGCTGAAAGCACTCCGGCAGCTTTTCCAGGACTCCTGAAAGCCCCTTTGTGGAAGCAGAGCTGACTGAACTGGCCTTCAGGTCAAGAAAAATCAAGCACTGGGTGGGATTTCCAAGAGTACTTGGCTGTAACCTCACCCTGCTCCCCTTTGAAGTCAGCAGAATATTTACATCGATTTCAACTGGAGAAAAATCAGGCCAGTGCAGAGCGTTTGAAACGATGCTCCGGTCCCTTTGTACCTCCCAGCTCAAAGGCCGTCTGCTGTGTCTGTGATTAAACACCATCCCAGCAATTGGTTGGACAGCACGATGAGCCCAATGTGCTGGCCCTGGGGGCACAGGGAAATTATAATGATTAAACCACGTGAATCTCCTAAACGTTACCTGTGATCGTGATACCGTTAAATACAGATGAACATCCTGCTGCCAGGGAAGGAAGGATGGGCTTGCTCCTCTAAAGATCAATGGAAGCAGATCATCACTGGTTTGCAGACATCACTCACACCTCCAGCCTCTGTTCAGATCTGCTGGTCAATGAATGCCAGGAAAGGAGCACATTTAAGTACCAGATTTGCATGTCAGCTCCTCTGGGCACTTCAAGTAAGGGTGTCAAGTAAGTGGCCTGGAAGAGCTGTTCTAACTCCTTCTGTTGGCCGTCATCTGGGTTTGAGCAGTGCAGATTGAGATGTCTTGCATCTCGAAAAGAGTAAAAGAGTACACAGGGCACACTGAAAAAAAATAGCTCACCTTTTAGAAAGACTCTTAATGTGTCCAGCTTACCAGGCAGGGACTGCCCTGGCAGAGGTCACCCTCTGAGCACGGGCAGAGGATGTGCTGTGTGACAGCCAGGACTGCTAACAGCCAGCAAAGCCAAATGAGGGCAATAACTCTTCAGTCAGAAAGAATTTTGCCCTAATTTAGATTTAAATTCCAAGAAGACGGAATTGACGCTAAAAGGATTTCATGGTATTCGCAGAAATGGAAATAGTTCCATTTTGTGAAAATTAACTTGTTTATAGTGAAGTTTTGGATACCAAACCCGCGGAGGAGCTCTGGGACTTCCAGGTTGTCTGAAGAAGCCAACACTCGTTGCCTGATGAAAAGCCCAGTTGCTGGGAGCTGCTCTGCATCTCCTGGAGAGGCTCCCAGCCACAATGAGGGTTCCAAACTTCAGCAGAATCAGTGGCTTGGTAAAGTCTCACATGAAGCACAAAACCGAGCAAATCTGCAGCAGTTTAACCTCACCTCACAAATTCTCCTCCACTGAAAGGTTCATAACCTTTCTGAAAAGATTAGCCCCGAGTGATGGTGAGATGGTTACTTCATGTTGAAGCCACAGGGAATTAAGGCTTGCAGTATGAACCAGGACAAACTCTGGGTTTTCAAGGAAAAAAGAACTGGAGGGAGTTAAATTAAATTAGCACAGCAGGTTAAAACCTTACTATTTTTATAAGTTGAATCACATCACAAACAAAAGCAAGGTGACTTTTCTATATTGAACCTGCTTTCTGAGAAGGAAATGGTGCCCATGGGGTTGGAATCAGGGTCTCAGGACTCCAGCCTTTTGTGGCTGTTGCTGTGTGATACTCATCAAGTGATTTCCTCCCAGCTTTAAATTCCTAAAAGTAAATACAGGAGGTTAAATTAGGGTCATTTGCAGACTGAAGTGAACCTGTGCAATGCGTTCAATAATATTCATTAGCCTCCTACTTGGGGAACTAAATTAACTCACGTTCCTGGAGAAACACCACTAGCTCTTGGTGAAAGATGTGCTGAGCACTCAGCCTGAGCACATGTCAGGCCTGCCCCTCACTTTTATTCTGAGCTTTTATTCAAATCAGGCTGGAACCAAGCAGAAAATCTGAAGACCATAAAGACCACCAACAAATGTACCAGTTCAGCCCTGAGGTTTTCATGCTATGGCTCATACAGCCACAGCAGTGCTGCAAGCCATGGGAACATCTCCAGTTGCACACCACGGATTTAGTGCCAGTTTCCTAAAGTGCCATTATTCAAGCTCACCATGAAACTAATCACTAGTTCCCAAAACCTGCAACAAAGCAAGGTGCTCAAGCCTCTCTGCAGCAGCCATATGTATGTGGTGTTTGTGTTTCCCACGACAGTAGCTGGTCCAGCCTGCTCACCATGGAAGCTGAGAAGGCCTAACATGGACAGTGCTGGCCCTGCACTGGTGCCACCATGGCTGTGATTTCTGTTTATTGGCATTCATGGTTGCATTACAGATCTCAGATTTCCCTAACTCAAAGATTAAATGATGGAGCAGGTCTCACTCAGCATTGAGGGTGACAGAGAACAAGGCTGGAAGAGACTTTGGGAGGTGACTTAGACCCTCCTGCTCTATGCCAGGGTGAACCCATTGCCAACATTTCACCTTTCCAATCTTGGCAGTCCAAAGATGACAGCGCCATGGCCTCTCCAAATTATCTATGGGATACTTAAGGCTTTGCCTCCGACAGAGAGACAGAAAGATGGGCTGGTGAAAGACAAGCTTCTGAGCTCAGCTTTTCCCCATATCTCATTGATAACGGGTTGATTATCTTCCTTTGTACCCTCGGTGCCTCTTGCTGTGCTGTTTCAGACAGAATAAACTGAACAATAATGAACCATCATCAAACTGGCAATTGCTTCCTGCCCAGCTTACGTTAGCAGAGAAAGAGAAAGCAAATGATGATTAGTCGTATGTCTGCACTCAAAGATAAAACCCCCGAGCAGAAGCCATCTGCCGAGGCATAAAATAATAATTCTGGCGCTAGCCCTGTCTGAGTGCAGGGCCATCAGCTCTCCCCGAAACACAACCCAACACAGGCCTAATGCTGAGTTCTAGCAGGTGGCCCATAACCCTGTAATAAACTCCCTGACATTATTGATTCCCCCCCCCCCTCAAACTGAGCCCTTTTGTCTAACTACATTAACTTCTGCTTACTGAGCAGCTGCACGTGAGGCAGCACATAAACAGCAGCTCGTTTGGGTGAGCAATCACCACGCTGAATGTGCCCCCCGAGCCTGTCCCTGCACGCTGGGATCTGCTCAGATGGGCTATTTCAGAAGTCAAAACCAGCACTTGTTAGCTCTGGGCACTTCCAGGGAGATTTCTATCTTTACTTGGGGAAAATTGAAATATGCCTCCACTTCTAATTGTGCATTTGAAGAGCCCTGAAATAGGACCCAGGCGCGCTGTTCCCACTGCAAAACTTCAGCCAGATCTGCCCTGCCCATGTGTGTGCTCCAAAAGCATGTGGCCAGCACAGCAGCCTTTGCCTGTGCTTTGATGTTTGGAGGTGCATCCTATGCTGCCAAAAATCCTTCTCTCTTGGCCAACCATCCAGCCAGTGTGAGCTGTGTGCTTTTCTGAGGGCTGTGGAAAGGCACCCGAGCTGGGATTCCTGGCCATCCCCTGAGCAGGTCCTGCAGAGGTTTGTGGAAAGGGGCATTGCTCAGAGGGGAAGGTTTGATCCTTTGCAGTCCAAACCAAGCTGAAGCTGAGTTCCCAAGGCACTATCTGTATTTTTCTGTGGGTTTGGAAGAAATGTTCCTGCTTAAGACAAGCTTTACTCTGAAAGGGATTTGGCAGTGACATTCCCTCTCAGCTTTAAGAGCAATAAGCTTTACATACAGCCTGGAACATCGTTACTGTCTAAATGAGACAGGGGTTTTTTAAAGTTCTTTTCTGTTCAGGCATCACATTTTCACCTGTGCATGGACAAGAAGCCACCTATGGAGGGTGAATGATGATGGTGAGGCCAAAGAAGAGTGTGTTCTTGGGGCTCCCTGTGTGATCGGGGTCTCTACAGGCAGGGCAGGTTTCGGTGCCCTGTTTGGAAGAAGGGGCTGATTGCTGCTGTGGGCAGTGCAGGGAGTTGGTACCAAGCCCTGCTGTCCTGTGGGAGGAGCAGGAGGGCAGCCTCAAGGAGCAGAATCTGTGCTTTAAGCTAAGCTCAAAGGCGGAAGGTGTCCAGCATCCAACCTTCACTGCTCCGGTGGCTGCTGGGGGCACCCTTACAGTGCAGCACAGACAAGTGCCCACTCCAGCCCAGAGCCCTCGTGTAGGGTCTGGATGCCACAGGCAGCAAACTGCCACCGGCAGCGATGAGTCAGAGCCTGCCTGGAGATGGGGAGGCTCGTGTTTGTGTTGGCAAAACCAGCTGCGAGTGGCGGCGGGCCCAGGGAGCACGAGAGGCTGAGGCTGGAAGGGCCCCTGTGCCGAGGCAGAGATCAATGGGAAAGGGAGGTTTAACATCGCAGGGTGACGGTTCCTGCCAAGAGCCTTCCACAATAAAACCAGCAAATCAATCCACCATCCGCTGAGTAACTCCAGATGAGGATTGCTCGTAAATATGATCAACGGTTTGCTGCTCCTTTAACAGTGGCTTCAGAAAAAAAAAATCCAACCAAATACAATTATAGTTTTCTGTGCAGCAGAGAATCCTGTTTCCCTCCTCAATTAAAAGGGGTCACACCAAACACTGGGTCAATTCTTGGCACAGCAGAGGAGGGGAGGGACAACCCATAGAAGCTTGGTAAGAGTAAGAAAAAAGGCAAAGAAATTACAATTTACAAATAACTCAACAACAGTTAGGATCCTGGGCATCCTAGGAGGGCTTTTCGGGACTGGTGTGTAGTGGTGGATGGACATCTGTGGAGCACAGGCTGGTCAGAGATTGCATGTCCTCACTGCTGGGAGCAGACCCAGGATGTTGTCTTTGTGCCATCGGGGCTCAGGTTTGTCCATCCAAGGTCCAGAGAAGCTCATCCCAGCTCCTCATCCAGCAGACTCAGTTCAACATCTTGATCAGAGAGAGGGATTTTTGTGTAGTAGTGGGGTTCCTTCTAAGGCTGAATCTCATTTGGGAAGATCTTTATCACATCAGTATCTGACATGGATGAGAGAAGATAAGCCATAAATTTGGTTTTCATAATAGATTTGCTCATAGAAATGGAGAACCAGGGTTCCTTTATTGCTTATATTAAAGAAAAAATGCACAGTGCTTTATAAACAAGGAGGAACAGAGAAACTGTGCCCAGGGACCTTGACAGAGACCCTGATTCACAGCTGGCATTAGCTGGTGTTGTTCTGGAGTCCCCAGTCAGATCCACTGAGGTCAGCAGAGTTCAACTAAGTTAAACCAGGCAAGAAAACAGCCTGATGAAACTGAGGAGACAGTGAGTGCATTAGGTAGAGCTTGGCTGTCCATGCTGGGACAACCAGAGTCCTTACTGTCCCTGAGCCAGCCCAGGGTAGCCTGTGGTGTCCCTCCTGGATGTGCTCCTCAGGTTGGGTAACAGCACGTCTGGGATGTCCTGGCAGGGACAGGGCAGCTGTCAAGGGTTGCTTGGAGTCCTCACTGCCTCCTCTGCCCTCAGGAGCTGCCTGCCTGCATTCACAGGGAGATTTATGGCAGTGTTTTCCTCTCTCCTGGCTGTGTTCAAGTGGCCAAGGGAGTGATCCAGGAACATGATACCTAGGAGCCCAAAAGCAGAAAGCTGCAGTGGGACTTGCCTGTCCTTGGAGAATATCCCTCTGGATGGAGGAGGACATAGCTCTGTCTGTCTGATGCAAACATGTGTCTGTTTCTTCAGAGCCCCACTCTGCTCCCCCACAGCTGAAATGTGCCTCTGGACAAGGGATCCTTGGTCTGGCAAGGGAAAAAAATAAAATAGTGTTATTTTTTTCCTCTTTGGAATGGTGGATCCACACAAATGGGTCTCTCATTCAACATGGCCAAAGCTAGCAAGGAGGTGGCTTTCTGGCACCAGGAGAGGAGATGGAGGCTTCAAGACCCACCTCTGGCCCAGCAGGTAAGGGGGTAAAACAGCCCCACAAGGCTCAAGATGGCAAGGGAAAATCACATCCATGGCAATGCCATGGATCAAGGAAAAATTCCCTGCACCTACAGTGGCTTTTGAGGTCATGACAGCAGCTTCCCCAGCACCCAGGATACCTGCACACCCCAAGACCCACATACAGCTCGTTTCAAAGCTTATCTGTAGTGAGTTTTACAATATAAAGTGTCTTTGTTTAGCCAACAGAACCACTAATACATGTGATTTTGTTGTTAATAGAGCTGTAAGAATTTTAAGTACCTCTTGGGAATGTGTCATTTTTGGTTGGCTTTTTTAGGCATCACAGGGTGCTGCGTTTGTCTTTGTAAACAAGTACTGAATAAAACATTTAGCACACAGCCGCACTTTGTACAAGTGTCATGCAGGTTTCTAAAGTTTCAGGGAGAATAAATCAACTGCAAACTGCTGCCTGGCAGTTGACTTCGCTCCTTATAAATAGCTAATTTGGACAACTTCGCCCTGCACGTCCCATGAAATTCAAATACTGTGCATATCGTTAATGCAGGCACACAAATCAGAACTGCAAAAGCCCCTTTTAAAAGCCCGGGATTGTCACAGAAATGCCACGGCCAAGGCCAGGTCAGCTCCAGGTTGCCCTCCCTTTCTTCCAGAGGCGATCCTGGGAAAACATCAGCAGGCCACTGCGCTCTGCTGCCTGGCCCCAAGGGAGGAGCAGGAGCCCCATGGTGGCCCAGTTCACTGCTGGTTGTACTGGTTGGCAGCATCATCACTCGGCAGAATTAGGTCCAAACTCAGCCATGAAAACCAGCCCTGCTTTAATACACCCAAGGGAGAAAAGTAAGGGCTGACTGTGCCTTGCTCTGTCGCCTTTGCAGCGCCCAGCGCTGGGCACGGAGTGGATTCACACCCTTCCCTCCTCCCAAGGCACAGCACTGCTGCTCCAGCCCTGCAGAACCCCCACGTGGGATGCAAACTTACCTGATCCTCCCAGGAGGCTCTTAGCAACACACAGGGCCCACCCAGGCTGGCCCAGAACTCAGCCCAGAGGCTCTAATCCTGGAAGGTGCTGAGCAACTCGGACTTCTGCCACTCATCTCTGGATTTTGGCACATGTTCAGCATGAGCAGGATCAGCCCCTTGCTGTAATAATCAGGGAATGAGGAACTCAGCTTGACTGAGTTTCCCTCCCACCCCCCAATGCAAAAATGCTGTACATTCCTTTATGCAGGTTTCCATAGTGTTGAACTTCTACTATTTTTTTGTTGTTGCTGTTAAAGGGGTCAGCAATGCACTGTACAATGGGATCTGGCTGTCAGGAAATGTAGAGGAATTCAGGGACACTTTTAACATCTTCCTGGTGGGGCTGGAGGGCAGCATTAAACCTGGCATCCTGGAAATCTCCCCACCACAGAAGAAAAAAGCCCAGAGGAGCCCCGGGAGAAGTTATGAAGACATTCTGCTTTGTCAATCCTACGTTTAAATAAGTTATTTCTTCCCCTACTTCCTCTGTTAAAATATGATATTTTGGCTTTAATTGCTTCAATCCTATTACTTGTTCCTTTTAGCAAGTGATTGTGCAGCCCCTTGCCGTGGGGAAATCCCCTGACCGCAGGTCCGTGTTATTTAGACAAGTCCCCTTTCAGAAGTAAATGCCATTCTTAGCATAGGGAAGTACTTTAGGTCTAAAGGGGTTAAGAAGGCCTCCCTGCATTCAGAAACATGCAGGGGTCCCACCATGCCAGTTCCAGCCTTTTGAACTCTTTCCAGCTTTTTTTTCTTGCAACAAATCTGTCTGACTGCCACCAGGACATAGGAAGCGTGTGCCTGTCAAAGAAATCAAGTTTACTTTTTCTGACTTGTTAACAGAGGCAGGGTATAAATAGAGCTAACTCTGCTCAGACTAGTAGCGTTTCTCTTAAAATAAGGGGATAACTTCCTAGGACCTTTAATCCAATGAGGTCCAGACCAAACTGCACTATCGACAGAGGCAGCAGAGGAGCTCGCTGAAGCTTTTACTGAGGTCAGGTGCATCTGGGTTCCTCAAAAATTTAAGGCTTGCCAAAAAAAAGCAACCCCAAGCAAGCAAGAACTACTTCCAGCTCGGACACTGCCACTGCCCTGGAGAAGTTCTGAGATGTTGTTGGTGCTGTTCACTCGGTGGATGTGGATCTTGCTGGGGAAGAGCAGTGTCCTCTTGCTTCTGGAGGTCTCTCTGAAAGGGAGAGCTCTGCCCCCAATCCGGTATTCCCACGCTGGGATATGCCCCAATGACATGAACCCCAACCTGTGGGTCGACGCGCAGAGCACTTGCAAGAGAGAGTGCGACGCTGACCTGGTGAGTGATGCACATCTTTGTGTCTCTGCGTCACGGGCGGCGAGGGGGCTTGTCTGGGGGCTTGTTTCTGCCTGTCCCACGAGAAGGGCACTGGCACCGTGCAGGACTCGGTGCAGACAGTGCATGTATTTAACTGACCCGCGACCTATATAAAATAGAAAAGGTTTGATGAGTTGTTGTTAAGCAGGGAGGTGTGTGGCAGTTGTCACTTACGCTGATGTGGGCACAGGGCTCGCTCTGTTTGATCCTTTTCCTTGCTTTCATGTCAAAAGAACCGTCTGAATTTGATACTCCAGCACTCAGCATGCACTGGGGCCAGTCTGTAGTATTTTAGCAGTGTCACCGTGTTCTTTGTTGTTGGTGGCCATCATCAATGTTTTATGTTCCTGGGAGAAATCCTGTATGAAATTGTTTGATTTAACATGCAAATCATCAGCCTTTGCTGCACTTGAAGCACAAAAGGTGCTTGGGGTGCAGAACAGGGCATGGCTAAAATGACCAGGCAGATGTTCTGTGGGATGCTCCCAGCTCAAAATGTGTTTAGCTTACAACCCCAAAATTCATTTTTCAACCTGTCAGCACTGCCAGCTCAAGCTGGCATCTGAAAATACCTGCTTGTCCTGCCTCTTACATCATGTCCCACGACAAAGCTTCTGCAGCCCAAACCTGGCTGACAGGAACACGTACTGTGATGAAAAAAAGTGTTTGGGTTTGTGCTCTGTAGCCAGGTTGTTTCTGCAATGCTAAAAAGGTTAAAAAACCAGGGAAAAATGCTGGTCATAAGTAAACAAAGACATTTGCTCAGATGGATCCCATGTGTTAGGAATGAAGGTGCTCTTTTTACTTCTGCCATTCTCAAATAAGCCTCCTCTGTTCCAACTACCAGGTGCAGCAATGAATGCTAAAACACTCGCAAAACTCCAGCAGCAGATGACAATGTTTTAATAATTTACTGGTCAAAAACTGAAAGCCAGAAGCCAGTGGCTACAAATATTCACTCTGTGGCAGCACAGAGTCCTGGCACCTTAGATGGAGTGAGTGGTCTGTAGGCAGCCAAGGACTCTGCCAAGCCACACTCCTTAACCCCAGCTGAAAACCTCACCCATCCTGGTTTCTAGCTTTGCTTCTGAAACCCAGTAATGTGCAGCTGGAAATGGGGAAAGAGTTCTGTTATTAGGTCATCTTTTTCCCAATAAGGAAAGGATACTGGACTCAGGGGAAGCTCTTTAGTTTGGTAGCCTAAAAATCATGTTGTCCTCACTTACAGAGACAGCTGATGGATTTCAGGGGGCTTGTAGAGGTTTAACACACAGTGGAAGTGTGACCTGTTGGGCACATGGTAACAATGTTCATGGTCCCTTAAAGTAATCCATAACAGCCCAGCAACCGTGATCACACGTATCAAATACCTTTTCTGCACAGAAGATGAAAATTCTGCTAAAATTAACCACAATTTAGAGCTGACTGTAGCCGAGGCGGGGTGTAATAAATCACTAGAAGAGCGATGCTGCATTTGAAAATAGGACTAAAATAGGACAGAGAAGCCATAATGATCTGTTTGGGGTTTGTTTTTCTAAATACCATAGAAAAATTATTTTTGGAGCAAGAATTACCTTACTTTTGAGATATTCTATTATTTCCTCTACAATGTGAACAATTACAAATCCTTGGCAGTTTCACCTCCAAGAGCAGGCTGTTAGTCTCAGGGAATTCAAATAATACTTTACATACTTCTGTGGAAAATAAGAAGGATTACTGCCTACAGCCATATGATAAGACTTTCCATACGCTCTTGTTTCTCAGGCCTTGTCCTCAGGCATTTGGGAGAGCACAGAAGGGGGGTGGTTGGTTTGGTAGTCAAGCAGTCCATGTGACTCTGGGGTAAAGACTTAGGATGAGGTTTGTGTTTAAGAAACAGAATTACATTTTCCTTCCAGAGAGTCTTCTCTTGAAGCACTTCAGAGCCCCCAGTGTGTTTAGACACCTCTTGGGCGATGCTGAGGAGATGTTTCTACTCATTGCCCGTGGGGACACTGAGTTTTCAGACCACAGATAGCTGTGGCAGACGAGGTCCCCTGAGTTTCTGGGCTGTCTGCTTGCTGGGTCTCTAAAAAGGCCTTTACTTTGTCCCCAGTAACAATTGGGTTGTTTTCCTCCCCCGCAGGAGTGCGAGACCTTCGAGAAGTGCTGCCCCAATGTCTGTGGAACGAAGAGTTGTGTGGCTGCTCGGTACATGGACGTCAAGGGGAAAAAGGGGCCGGTGGGAATGCCCAAGGAGGCAACCTGTGACCGTTTCATGTGCATCCAGCAAGGCTCAGAGTGCGACATCTGGGACGGGCAACCCGTCTGCAAGTGCAAGGACAGGTGTGAGAAGGAGCCGAGCTTCACCTGCGCCTCCGACGGGCTCACCTACTACAACAAGTGCTACATGGATGCAGAAGCTTGCATCAAAGGCATTACACTGAACGTGGTCACCTGCAGGTACCATCTCACCTGGCCAAACACCAGCCCTATCCCACCAGAAACAACAGCTCGCCCTACTACTGCCTACTCTGAGACAACGGTCGTCGACATCCTGCCGCCCGCGCTCGTGAACAACCCCGTCCACCAGTCTGTCTACGTGGGAGAGACCGTCAGCTTCCTCTGTGACGTTACAGGGAGACCCAAGCCAGAGATCACGTGGGAGAAGCAGGTCGATGGGAAAGACAAAGTCATCATGAGGCCAAATCACGTCAGAGGGAACGTCGTGGTCACCAACATCGCCCAGCTGGTCATTTACAACACGCAGCTGCAGGACGCAGGAATCTACACCTGCACCGCCCAGAACAGCGGTGGCCTCCTCAGGGCTGACTTCCCTTTGTCAGTCATCAAAGGAGAACCTGCATCCAAAGAGGCTTCCCAAAACAAAACGCATTTCCCAACCGATGAGTGCCTGAAGCAACCGGACAGCGAAGACTGTGGGGAAGAGCAGACCAGGTGGTACTATGATGCAAAGAAAAACAACTGCTTTACTTTCATCTATGGGAACTGTAACAGCAACCTCAACCACTTTGAGACCTACGAGAGCTGCATGTTAACGTGCATGAACGGCCCCATCAACATCTGCAACCTGCCAGCCCTCCAAGGCCACTGCAAGGCCTACGAGCCCAGGTGGGCCTACAACAGCTTGACAAAGCAGTGCCAGTCCTTCATCTACGGCGGGTGTGGAGGCAACGAGAACAACTTTGAGAGCCGGGAGGCCTGCGAGGAGATGTGCCCCTTCCCGAAGAACACGCACTGCAAAGCCTGCAAACCCCGCCAGAAGCTGGTGACGAGCTTCTGCAAAAGCGACTTCGTCATCCTGGGCCGCATCACGGAGCTCACCGAAGACCAAGACTCGGGACACGCCCTGGTGACGGTGGAGGAGATTCTCAAGGATGAAAAAATGGGATTAAAATTCCTGGGGAAGGAACCCCTAGAAATCACACTCCTGAACATGGACTGGAGCTGCCCGTGTCCCAACATGACCACGGTGGATGGCCAGCTCATCATCATGGGGGATGTCCACAACGGCATGGCTGTGCTGCAGCCAGACAGCTTTGTGGGGACCTCCAGCATCCGGCGCGTGCGCAAGCTCCGCGAAGTCATCCACAAGAAAACCTGCGAGCTTTTGAAAGAGTTCCTGGGATTGCATTAACCCCCCCTCACACGTGTCGGCTGCCCCGCTCCGTGTGTTACGTAGGGCTAACAAGAGCTAGGCTATAGTGCACAAACTAAAGAGCTGTTTGAAGGTACACCGTAGGAATTATGCAGAACCCCTATTTTAATCCACTAATGATGCTTAGCAACAACGTAGTTTGGTCTTTGGCAAGCACGTAAACCAGCAGCAAAAGGCTATTAATCTTGCATTGAAATCAATTCGTCCATATAGGAGTGCCATTTAAATAGGTGACTCACTGCAGTAATTATGCAATTTTTATGTAGCTTCCATCATAAATGACGGAATTCATAGCGTTTGTTTGGCTAGTTGGTACACAGCTAAATAATATATAATGTCAATTTAATCTGTCTCATTTTCAGTCTGGAAATGTGATGGTATGTCGTTGTAAGTAAGTCACATGCTTGGCTCCTTATAGCAGCACTAATATTTCAAGAGAAAAGCCTGTAAATTATTGTCTGTATTTACAGTTGTGAACATTTAACCAACCTATGTGTTATGTTTGCTTCTTTTAATTGAAATTTTCCCTTTTCTTTTTAAAAACCTCATTTTTAAATGGCAACTACTACCTATCTTGCAATCCTTTCTGGAGGAAAAACTCCCTTGATCCTATGCCCAGGACAACAGGTCCCTGTAGAAGCTCAAGGCACAGTCTCACCCTGAAATTACTTTTCTGTCACCAGAACAAGGTCAGCAAACACCCTCATTCCCTATTTTAGTTTCAATCAATTTATTGTCTATCACAAAAAGTCCCAGGCAGAAGGACAGCAGAGTGCTGTCTTGCTTTTGAAAATGCTTTCCACCTGAGCATATGCAGCAGTTTATTGCTTATTTTCAGTAGAAATCCTGCTTTTATAGATGGGAGAGCAAAGCAAGAGGAGTCAGAACAAGATTCAGCCTAGGAAAGTGCAATACACAGCCTGCAAACTGCATTAGGCAGACACAAAGCTGCTGAATCCGAACTGCACAGACACAGGCAGACAGAGTGGACACTCTTTAAAGGCTTTTATCAGTGTTAGCCTCTTAGAGCCTTTTTATAGGATTTCAAAACCTCAGAAAACACTTTCTACCAGACCACTGTATATATATGTGTTGGATAAATTCCCTGGGAGAGCCAGCACGGGCTGGGGGGTGGGAGCGCGTGCATACACATAGGATCGATCATTTTAACCTCTGTGTGCCCAAAAAAATGTAACATTTGCCTGTGCAAAAATCCTTAAATAAAGAAAAGGCTGATCCTGGAAACATCCTGCCTCGCTAAGGACTGTGATTGCAGGGAAGAGGGGCGAGCGTGGCGAGCCTTGTCCTCGCTCCTCATTTCACAGGCTCAGCCAAGTGACTATGGTGGAGCTCAGAGCTTGCTGCCCTGCACAAAGAGCCAGTTCAGGGCTGGAGCAGTGTCAAGACACGTCTGGGGGAGAGGAAGGAAGGAAAGAAGGTGTAGCCAA